GGGGTCGGGGGGGAAGGCACCAGAAGAAAACAACAAGAAAGCATCTCTTGCTCAGCTTATCTTTCTATCAACATGCGATGAGAGATAAAACACGACTGAGCATGAACAAGTCAAGAAAAAACATGAGTAAAAGCCTACCAGTTGAAATGTAAAAACAAACTAAAAAGAAAGGACACAAGGTAAGAAATATAAATAAAAAGCAAACCACATCTACTTGTGAATTCGTCAAAGATCAACAAATGGGTAAGATATTTATCAAAATGGATACTTAAGATGAGGTGCACTATATCAAAGTGATAGTAATGTTTGCAAAAGCTAATTTTTGTGGGCAGAGGAATACAACACATAAGATAAGAAATAAATGAAAATACAGGTTAAGCAACGTTTCATTAATTGATACTACAGAATATGAGTTTTTGTCAGGAGAACTCCTACTGAAGCCCTGTTTTCACATACCTCAACTCGCCTGTACAAGAGATCAAGACTTCGAACTGCATCCTTCTCATCCTGGAAAGCGCAACAAAGATATCTTACATGTATTAGATCGTTCTTTTGGCCCTTTTCCTAAAGTGTTCGGGGAGGGGGCCAACGGAGCTACCACATTGGACTTACTATACAGGCACAGAACTTAGAGGGTGCATATTCTTCTAAAACACCAAAGAACAAAAAAGACGGTTATTCCCATTGCCGCACTGCCTATGCAACAGTACATACTAAGCTAAGATTGCACACTGCATATGAAGAACTTTAAACACACCAAGATGGAAACCAAAGAATTGTCAATGAACAAAACCTAATAGGAAAATTGCATGAAATATCATGCATGTTGCACTTCATCATTAATCATTACAGTAAGTCCTCTAAATTTTCTCATTTAAACAAGAGCCATTTTATTCGGGGAAAACCCTGTCTAGATTCAGATCCAAATTTGCCACGGCATAAGTGTGCTAAATTCTGAAGCAGACACAGCTTTCCCCTTTGGTAATTGAAACCAAAAATCTTAGCTCATGAACTAAAGAATATGCTAAGGTGAATGTGACTCTTATACTGATGAGTGATGCCCAAAAGGCAAATCCGCCGCACAAACAAGGAAAAGAAAAAGAAATAGGTAAGGGTCATTGAGTAGTCATAGAAAGAAAAGATAAGCAGTAAAATACTTACATCACGCCGAGCAAGATCAAGCCGATTCCATATGATCAATAGAACAAGTTCATCGAGTTCACCTTTTTCTGCAGCTTCCTCAATTTTCTGCACATAAGAATCAAAACAAGAAACAATGTCCAATAAGAAAGCTATTGCAACATTGGAATTTAGAAAGGAAAAAAAGTGTCTCTAGGTCTCGTCTAGTTGTAAAAGCACAATGATGTGTGTTTTAGGCGCATCCACAAGAGCCTGGTATTTAAGTGGAGAAGGGTAGAGGGGCAGGCCCATTATCCACCAGATTCCGAGCAGTTCAAAAATGATTAAGGCATGGTAAACTAGAATAGTTCTATTGCAGGATCAAACCAAACGAACAAGATAAGGGAGCTGCAGGAAATTATAATCATGAATAAGCATCAGGTAAATCTGGCCCACAGAAAACAAAAAGGATACTGTTACTTTTTCACTTATGTGAGGAAGTAACCGCTGAACGTCCTAAGGTAAGATCAAGCCTTGGTCGTGACAACTGGCACTTGTTACGTCAACCCGTATGCTAACCTCACATATGATTGGATTCAAAGTGCTCACTTAAGCTAATTTGACCGTCAACATGACAATATTTTGGGATTCTTCCCGACGGGTGAAAAGAACATATAAGACCTTCAATTAACAAGAAGATGGTCATGTAATCTATGTCACATCCAAGTAGTTACTATAATAGATAGATAGATAGAGAGATAGATTTTCTAAGCAAGAAGAGTTTTTAAAGGCTAAATTAATAAAACGATAGATCACCATAACCAGTCAGGAAATGAAGTCCCTTAAGAGAAAGAAGGGTTGTTGGGATTAGTTCTGCAACCTACAGAAAGAGAAAAGAAAGAAATCTACAAATCCAAAAATAAACTTTTTTTTTTTTTTTGATGACCGAGAAATCTGTCTGGGGCCGATACTTTGGACCAACCGCAGCCTTCGAAACTCGGTGGATAATGGGCCCGCCCCTCTACCCTTCTCCACTTAAATACCAGGCTTTGCTTTGCATGTGTGGGGGCTTGAACCTGTGACCTAAGACACAAATCCACCACCCTTTGCCACTTGAGCTAGGCCCTGGGGGCCAAATCCAAAAATAAACTCTTCGATTAGTTTTCTCAAGGTCACATAAATCAACAAGATCAATGACTTAATTGAACATCTTTGAATTAGCAACTGACAAGAGGAATTATATCCTTGAGAAACGATGATTTCTGCTTCTAACTCTCTTGAAGGGGACATGAGGTAACAGAGGGTAGAAAAGGGTAAAAGGATATCCATTTGCTACTAAATTTCTTCTTTAAGACATTGTAGGACTAAAGGGAATAATTTATTCTTGTTTTAAAGAGTAAAAAAAGGAAAAAGAAAGAGACAGCATTTAGTAGTTTTCTTGTTTGTATTTACACCAGCTCCATAACAACTTTGACATTGTTAAGATTCCCCTTGGCTGGGTAAGTAAGTGGAATACTTACCAAGGTATGATGTTATATTCTCACAAAGGTTGTAACTCTAATCTTCTTTTTTTCTCTTTTTCTTTTTTTATAAAGGTGGCGTCCGGCCAGCACACCTTGACAAATTCTATGAGATACCTGCTACCTCCCACCAATAACAGGTATTGGGTAGCTCTGTCCACCAAGGCTTTGACAGATGAAAAGAAATCAAGTAGTGTTTTTGCCTCCGCTAGGGTTTAAACCTGAGACTGCATGGTTCTCAACCCACTTCATTGACCACTAGGCCACATCCTTGGGTGCAATTGTAACTCTAATCTTCTAAAAACAAATATAATAGTATCACATGGAAAGCCCCATACACCTCGAGTATTTTATCTATATACAAACCACAAAAAGATAAGAGTACACATTAGCAATGAAAGTAGTTCACCTCTTCCACTTCTTCAGCTGACCTAATGAAGCTGGCAACCAATTTCTTGGCCTTTAGAAGCTCTTCTTCTGGATAATCTTTCAAGCGCAATCCAATTTCACGATATTCATCAACCTTTTTTTCCTCTTCCTCATCCTCCTGTTGACGTAGTCTATGCAATTCCTTAGTCTTTTCCCTTTGCCGAGCTTGCCATTCCTAACCAGCGTAAGGTTAGCACCAACTTTCAAAAGATTATATAACATTATACTTTCCTTTTCCTCTACTTTTGCTTGTATATTACTCCCTCAGTCATATTTTATATACTACACTTTATTAAGGAGTCAGACAGCCTTTTCAAAACATTTTTTACAATTTTAATTGTAACATACTGTGAATCATAATATTTTTCATGCACTTCTGCTTTCCAATTATATAAATTTTACTTTAAAAATCTTAAGAAATCGTGTCGGAATTCACACTGAAAATTGGAAGCTTTGACCCCCATAACCCCATATTCTTTTTTTCCCTGATGGATAGAATATTATCTTTCTCTTGTTACCCTTTTCAAGAACTAAACTGGAAACTAGTAATCAAATCAAACTATATAGTCCATTGGTCAGATGGAAGAATATACTAAAACATCAAGTAGAAACAGAAGAAAAAAAAAAAGACCCAGAAACAAGAATAGATGATAGGGGGAAAAAGAGCATACATCATCATAATATTCCTTTGGAAGGCCATACAGGTCCTGCTCCTCGATTCCTTTGCTTCTTCTTCTATGCAGTGCTAAAGATTGTAACTTTTTAGATGCTGCAATCTTATATAATAAGCTCCAAAAATGAACAGAAAAAAAAAAACACAGAGAATAGAATAGAAGCTGACCTCTGCTGAGTGAATATTTGATTTGAGTAAGTGATGGAGTTGTTGAGAAAGATGAAGCTGAAGAAGAGACACAAGGGATTGCAGTGCATGTTAGGGACAGAGCTATTGCCTCCATTTCTTGCTGGTTAATGGCTGTCCCTAAAACCCCGGATAAATCCCCTCTATTTTTTAGTTAAATCCCCTCTATTTTTATGCAGCCCTTAAATCGATTCCCTATTTTACCATTTTATGTTTTCTTAATTTCTCAATCTTCCTATATCTCGGGGACAAAATTAGTTGGTAATTCTGAGTGTAATAAACAAGAAGTACCTAATGAAATAATTGAGGTGTACCCAAGCTCACTTAAAAATCATATTAAAACAATTGACGGAGTGAAGAACTTTAATTGTTAAATATTTTAATTATATTATAACATGTTACTTACCATACTTATAAGGTGTTTCGATTTGAGTTGATTGACATTTGAAAAAAAGTAGGATTTGAAGTTGAAGTTTGAAAAGAGTATTTGGAAGTTGAAATATGTTTGGACATAAAAACATAGTTGAATTTTTATGAGCGGAAACTTGAAAAACTCCTAAAACCTGTTTTTCAAACATCAAATTCTATATTTGAAGTTGAGCCAAGTTGCTAAACAAACACTTACTTGAGATAAACATCAAATAATATTTCAGATATTTGTTATCTTACCTGTCTTTACTTACTATAGACAATTACTCCTTATTAAATTTTAATGGCATTATTGTGTAAGAAATTATTTTGTAAAAAGTTAAAATTTTGCTTCAGTATGAATCAAAAACCACAAGAAGCTACTGAGGGGGAGGTGCAGGCGTTTTAGCATTTAAGTTAGACTTGCTCTTCTTAATTTCCTTCTTTTGTTTGTTATCTCCTTGCTTCTCATTTACATTTGAACTTTTCTAAATTCAAACATTATAGTATGACAAAATTCTAAATACGAAATTTATTTTGTTTCGGGAGGTTGTTAATCCTTTTGTTGGTCAAATTATACTTTTGGTTTTGACCCAAATCATAATCGTTATAAAAATTGTGTGGGTAGCCACTTTTTAAAGTAGTATTTACTTTTTATCCAGTATTTTTAATGTTGAAAAAAAGTAGCCACTAATCTATTAAAATTAATATGAAAAGACAGTGTTACCCATTCCTTCCCAAACGGAAATACGCTTTTCTTCTCGTTGCTGAGAGTAGCAGAGTGGGAAACCCAAGATGACTTTACTACCATTAATGGAAGAATTTGAGTACTCTGCTTTGTGGGTATTGCAAAACTGACTTTTCCAAAACTTCCTTGACCAACAGCTTCACCACGAACCCAATCCATGAGATGAAATTTGGTATTATTTTAGGCTTTCGTTTAGGTAGAAGAATGTGAGAGAACAGAGTAGGCCGCAAGTCACAACGAACTCTGTTTTAACCCATGTTATTTATTTATATGTGATAGTTTTCCTATTTTTGTTTGGTTTTAGTTCCAAGTTTAAAAGTTAAGGACATCCTGAAGACTTGAACTTAGAATTACAAGTTCAAAATTTAAGGACATGTAGTCCTGAAGTCCTGAACTTAGAGTTCCAAGTTCAAAAGTTAAGGACATATAGTCCTGAAGTTAAGTTCAAAAGTTAAGGACATGTAGTCCTGAAGTCCTAAACTTAGAGTTCCAAGTTCAAAAGTTAGGACATGTAGTCCTGAAGTTAAGTTCAAAAGTCATGAAGTCCTGAAGTTAAGTTCAAAAGTTAAGGACATGTAGTCCTAAAGTCCTGAACTTAGAGTTACAAGTTCAAAAGTTAAGGACATGTAGTCGTGAAGTCCTGAAGTTAAGTTCAAAAGTTAAGTCCTGAAGTTAAGTTCAAAAGTTAAGGACATGTAGTCCTGAAGTCCTGAAGTTAAGTTCAAAAGTTAAGGACATGTAGTCCTGAAGTCCTGAACTTAGAGTTACAAGTTCAAAAGTTAAGGACATGTAGTCCTGAAGTTAAGTTCAAAAGTTAAGGACATGTAGTCCTGAAGTCCTCAAGTTAAGTTCAAAAGTTAAGGACATGTAGTCCTAAACTTAGAGTTACAAGTTCAAAAGTTAAGGACATGTAGTTGTCACGACCCTAAAACCGACCCGGTCGTGATGCCGCCTATCGTGAAACTAGGCCAGCCGACACAATTCCCGAATTCATCCAGTATTCAATAAAAGTCATTTTTTAAGCCATTAATTAATCAATAATCTCATAATGTAAGTCTAAATAAATAGTGCGAAATAAATACACAAGCCCGACATCGGGGTGTCACAAGTCACGAGCATCTACTAAGATCTGAATACAACTAAGAGTCTAAAAAATGTACTAATACAGTCTAAGGAAGACAAGAGGGAGAAAAGCAGTGCCGTGAACGTCGGGCAGCTACCTTGCTAACTCCAATGACTCTGCCACTGAGCAATCAACACCCACTACCGGGTTTCAGAAATACCTGAATCTGCACACAAGGTGCAGGGAGTAATGTGAGTACGCCAACTCAGTAAGTAATAAAAGTAAATGAAAGCTGAGCAGTAAGAAAACACGTAAGCCACGTCATAACGCTACAACAAATACAGTACATTTCCAAAACAGTACAAAAATCATTTATTTCGTAAATCAAACTCAGTTTCAGTAAAAACCTTTTCCTTTTTAAAACATCTTCCAATAGTTTCAAACGAGTGATAAAAATAGTGAGTAAAAATGATAGAAACGTAAACAGCCCCTCGGGCAAAACATGTACCATAAACCGCCCCTCGGGCACAATATCAACAGAACCAGCCCCTCGGGCATAACATAAATCAAGAACCGCCCCTCGGGCAAAACATGGATTAAGAACAGCCCCTCGGGCAACAATATGAAACAACAGCAGCCCCTTGGGCTACACTACATCACTCACACTGAGTACCTGCGCTCACTGGGGGTGTACTGACTCCAGGAAGGGCCCCTTACAGCCCAAGCGCAATAACAAGCCATTTCGTGGCATAATCAAACAGGCTCTCGGCCTCATATCAATCACAAGACACCTCGTGGCATAATAAAACAAGCCCTCGGCCTCTCATATATCACAAATCAGTACCACATGCTGCGGCGCGCAGCCCGATCCCATGATATCCTCACAACACAGGCCCTCGGCCTCATTCAGTCAGATCTCACTCAAGCCCCTCGGGCTGACAGTAAAACAAGTACTCGGCTCAAAATCATTTATGAAATCAAAAGGAGTGAATAAAACCGAGTTATGAAAACAGTAAGAACATAGCATGACAGAGTGTAAACATTAAACCAAACCAGTGAGGTAAAATAGTATTAAAAGCCCCTAAGGGTCCAAACAATCGGCACAAGGACCAAACACGGCATTTAGCCCCAAACACAATAATATTTTCCAAAATATAACAATATCAAGTAATTTTCAAGTAAAATACGTGACTTAATAGTCGTACGGGATAGACCAAGTCACAATCCCCAACGGTGCACGATCCCACGCTCGTCATCTAGCGTGTGTGTCACCTCAAAGTAGAACAACGATGTGAAATCCGGGGTTTTAGACCCTCAGGACAACATTTACTATCATTACTTACCTCAATCCGGATGAAATTCTACTCCGCAATGCCCTCGCCGCTCGACTCGGCCTCCAAATGCTCTGAACTCNAAATGCTCTGAATCTAACCAAAATCAGTATATTATCATCAATATACGCTAAAGGAATGAATTCCCTATGAAAATTATCAAATTAGACAAAAAATCCCGAATTTGGCTCAAACCCGGCCCCCGGGCCCACGCTTCGAAATCCGGCGAAACTCACAAAATCCGACATCCCATTCAACCACGAGTCCAACCATACCAAAATTACTAAATTCCGATAACAATTCGGCCTCCAAATCTTCAAATCTTATTTTCAAATCCCTAGGTCCAAATCCCCAATTTACACCTCAAAAACATGTAATCTAGTCGGATTATTCGATGATAATTCAATATTATGGAGTAGAAATGATCACAAGTGACTTACCTCAAGATTTCCCATGATTTCTTGCTCAAAAATCGCCCCAAGCCGTGTTCTTTCACCAAAAAAACGTCAAAATGAGCTAAAAAAAAAAAGAACAACATTAATAAACCCGATTCTGGTCGCTAAAAGCCATTTCCGGTCGCTAAAAGTGGTCCAATCTGGCCGCTAAAGGTGCACACCAGATCTGATGCACCAGCAGTCTTTAATTTCACTAAAAAGTCTCTAACTCCATCATACGAACTCGGAATTCGATGATTCTTATTCTTGTGAGTCACAAATAATAATACGAACATAGTCCTTCAATCGAAACTCAATTTGGAGCTCATTTGCTCAGTGCGATACCCATTTCGCTCGTTAAACAATTAACTCACGATTCGCGTCAAAAATCCAATCGCGACTTGATGAAATTAGACCAAACTTTCCAGATCACTCCTATAATTCATTATCAAAATTCCAGAAGTCTCGAAATCAAATTTCGATCTCTATAACTAAAAATGGACCTTTGGATCATTACATGCTTATGCTCAAAATGCCAAAATCTTCCAAAAACTCTTCCAAAACTTATCCGAGCCTCATGGGACCCCAACCAAACATGTCAACACACCCCATAACATCATTCAAACTTGTTCCAACCTTCGGAACGCTCAAAACAACATCAAAACATCGAATCACCCTTGGATTCAAGCCTAAGAATTCCAAAACTTCCAAATTCCGAATCCGATCAAAAAAGTCTATCAAACCTCGTCCGAATGACCTGAAATTTTGCACACACGTCACAAATGACACAACGGGCCTACTACAATTTTCGGAATTCCATTCCGACCCCAATATAAAAATTTCCACTACCGATCGAAAAACGCCAAATTTTCAATTTCGCCAATTCGAGCCTAAATCTACCACGGACCTCCAAAATACATTCAGGACTCGCTCCCAAGTGCAAAATCACCTAACGGAGCTAACCAAATCATAGAAATCCAAATCTGAGATCGAATACTAAAAAGTCAAAACTTTGTCAAACCTTTCAAACTTAAAGCTTCAAACTGAGAATTGTTCTTCCAAATCTATTACGATTATCCTGAAAGCCAAAACCGACGATGTACATAGTCATAATACATCACACAGGGCTAGTCATGCCTGAGAACTGGCGAGCGAAGTGCAAAAGCTCAAAACGACCGGCCGGGTCGTTACAGTAGTCCTAAAGTTAAGTTCAAAAGTTAAGGACAT